CACAACTCTGAAGTTAAAATTGGAATAGAGATCTGCAAGAGGGAGAAACCAGCAGCGGTGCGAGGAGCAATGCCATCCCACCAGCGTACTTCAAATCAAATCACTGGTGTCTTCCCGACAATGCTGAACAAGTAGGTGACATGCGGAGGAAGAGATAGTCCCCTTGCAGGAAAAGTAGGTATTTCTGCTCTCCAGCCTAGAAGATGAGAGGTGGCCCAGTGGAGAAGGACAGAAATTAAAGTCTGTTAAAAAAAACCATGAAAAACCTTGATGAAGAACATAGATCTCATGAGCGGTCATAGCACTACACTGATCTAAAGTACTCTCCTGCTGAGCAGCACACAGATCTTGCCTGTAAAATGTTGAATAAAAAGAGGAAAAAAACCCAAACCTCCTTCTCTAATGAGGGCAAGGTTAGCAGGCTAAGGATAGTTCCACTCTTCACAGAAAGGCATATCCACACAAAGTATCTGAGGTACAAGAAGAGTATAGTACATCTATGCACTGCCATACTTCCACCATCAGATTCCTTAGCTCCTCCACATGTCTCCAGCTCTGGAATCAGCAATACAAGAAGCCAACAAAGGCACAAAATCTCTGCACCTTGTGTCACTGCTCTGTAGCACTGGGCACAAGCTGGATTCTCTGTGGCTGTAGCCCACTGCATGGTGGGTACATGAGGCAATGAAATTTGCAGCCTTCCTGATGCTCAAAGCTCCTCTCCCGAATACTGAGTGCATGAAATCTCATTTCTCCTCCTTCCCATCTAGAGGTGACACCATTCTGGGGTCTTCTTAATTTGGGGTTGAGTGCTTTCACTAGGATTAGCTCCTGGCATAGCCCAACAACTCCACAGCCACCCAGGGGAGCCTCAGTTCACATTTCCAAGGAGATGTAAACACTGAAGCTGCTCCACCACTGCCCTGATTCTCAGAGCAAACAAATATTAACAAGATAAACAAAAGAATGAAAAATCCCACACACCAAGACTGCAGCTGTAATACTGCCTTGGGGATAGGAATGCCAGGCTGGAGATCTACAAGCTGGAAAGAGGGAGAAACAGATTCAGTCTATGCAACAGAGGCGAGAGGAAACATTGGATCACATCTTACTCCAGCTGACCCTGGAAGGTGAGATGCCTCTCTTCCCAACAAGACGTAAGAACTTAGTCTTATGCCACAGGGATCCTGCAAAAGGCCCAATCACTGATGAAAACAACAAGCCATCAGATCTGCAGGTTGTCTCCTGGTTGATCAGCTGCCATAACATCCACCGTTAACAGCTCATGTCTTTCACAAAGGGGCTTTACCCTGGCTGCTACTTCTGGGCGCTGCCCAACTGACAAAATGCAGCCCAGCTCAGAAACTGTCAGTACAAGCCAGACCACCCCCCATGCTGGGCAGAGAGCATCGTGAGGAAAGGAATGAAGATACTTGTGTGAGAATGCAATGCCCTTCTTTAGCACACAGCTTTTGAATACAGCCATCATTAATCTCCTCCTGATTTTCACTAATTACCCGGGCATTTACAGTCAAGCAGCTTAGGTGCCTCCTGCCCGTCCATTCCTGTCTCTCCATGTATTGGTCCCTGCAGACCAATGGCTTGCTGTCTTGGACACCAGTTACTGGGGATCACAAAACATTTCAGTTTTACTCGATGTTCTTAAAGGTCTTTTACAACCTAAATGATTCTATGATTCTATTTCAAGTGGTGCCTGGGGCTCCAGGGCTTCTCAGAGACAAGGCTGCAGATGGACTGTTCTAGTCCAGCTTCCCCATGCTCCAGCCAACCACCAGCATGCTCTTCAGCTCTCTGGAAAGGAGCAAAGTCAGCTCTCCTGAAGGGGCATCCATGGTGGCACCATGAGAGGCTTTCTCTCCTCTATCCCACACAATGCCCTGCTACTTGCTGCTCCAACTGCACAATTCATCACAGAGAACTTCCCTGAGGAACAGACTGCCCACATGCAGCCTCCAACCCCTCTCAGCTGTGCCTTCCCTTTCAGAGAGGTTCACACTTCCCAGAAGAATTATCTGAATGAGTCCCAACAAAAACCTCATCCCATGCATTTCTGACGCAACTAAAGCTTCTTCCTGAGTGATTTTCCCATCTCCCTGCTAGCATCCACAATAACTCCCTATGCTGCTTTATCACTGAGTTTCATTAATCTACCATCTGCCTCCTCTTGTGGAGCCTTAAAGAAACAGAGGAGGATGAAAAGGCACAGCACAGAACTTTGCTGCCACCAGAACCCTATTCCCAATGTGAGACGCTTCAATTTATTACTAAACTTTGTTTATAGTTACGCAGACACTCTCCCACCCACATGGCAATGTTTCATTCAAGACAAGTTTGAATTCACTTCAAGAACAACATTTCAAAGGATCCCAAAGCATTTGTTTACAAACAGCATGCACAGAGAAGTCGCTTCTCCCACCAATGAACACAGTCCCCTTCAAGATGGGGAGAGGCAGCTGTTTCATAGCACCCAACAGTATTCAACAGCTGAGGGACAGGAAATGATCCACAGACAACTGATATTGCTGAGGAAATGTATGGAAAATGAGGGCTGGAGGCTTCTATTTGCCTGGAGAGAACAGGGAAGCTTCTAAGGACTAAAGCTCTCCATTGGCTCAGGAGGAATTCAGGGAGGCAAATCATCCCAGACTGTGGTCAAAGGAGTGACTCCAAATTTCAAGCCTCATGTGAAAGCTGGCACCTCCCAAGCTAACGGGAACCTGGGCACTGGGATAATTTGGCTGCAGAGGGGAGAGCACCCCCTGCAAAGGCAGCCACATCGATCTCCATCCCAAGCCCTGAACAGGCCCAGCCCTGTTCAACATAGGGTATGAGCCAAAATCACAGCCTAGGGAGGCATCTGGCGCAATAAGACGACACTAGGAAGACTATAAAACTGAAAGCTTTTTGTAATCCCAGCCTCCACACACAAGACCTACTGTAAACACTGAATCTTCAGGGGGGTATAATCCAGAGGAAGGAGGATCATGCAACTCTTTCAAACAGCAAAGCCAGGGATGGAAAAGGGTCACATGCTGTAAAAGCCAAGAGAGGCTATGTTCACAGGATGGAAACAGAGGTCCCCAAAACGCTAGAAGAGAGTCAGATGTAGGAAGATTCCAGTCAAAACAGTGGGGACAAAGTCTAACAGAGTTGGCCGCACACGGTACTTGCTCCCCAGCACAGTCACTGACTTTATGAAGGCAGCAGACAGTAGAGGCTCCCCAGAAGATAAGTCAGTATAGCCGTCCAAACAAGAGACAGAACATACCTCTTCACCTCCAACCAGCCATATGTGACAGAAGGAATCAAAGGGTATCAAAAAAGAAGTGATGAAAACATCAATGCTGGAAGAAGCCTGCCCTGCAGCAGATGGGATGTGAGGCTGTACCCCTCTTCTACAAAGACCCATCCCAGAGATGAAGCCCAGGCCATCTTACTTTGAGGATGGGACACATATATGGGTACAGTAGGTCTTGTAATACACCTCTTACTCAGAGATGAGCAGCATGTGGAGACCTCTTGCTCCTTCTCCATGAAGAGAGGGGAGGAGAAAGTTAGTCCCCTTTCCCCATTGCTCCTAAAGATGAGATGCAGAGAACAAAGCTGCCAGAATGGATGGCCCTCCCCAGAATGGATGGTAGGAGAACAAAACTGTCCCCAGATCCACTCCCTGGGAAGGGCTGATGGAGCATTGCCCCTGCATGCTCTTGGCGGAGGGAATACGGGGCACCCTCTCCAGGCAGGCACAGCAAGAGATACCCAGGTCCTTTATATGGAGAATGACAATCCCAGTAGGGATATGCAGGGGGATGCCTTTCCTATACACCCCACAGTGGAGAAACCCTTTCAGGCAATGTGCTGCTCAAGCATCATAAGCAGGGGTGATCCTCTGGTAGGGCAATGGTCTCCAAGGTGCCTCTGGCAGACCTGGGGTGCAGCCCACGAGAAAGTGCATGGAGGCCACCACCAGTTCCCCCACAGAGCAGCTCACAAGGGGCAGCTTCCCCCAGAGCCATCAGGGAAGGGCAGGATGGGGAGGCTGTCCCCAGAGGCAGCACACAGGAACCACCAGCCCCAGAGAAGGTGCGGGGGGGGAGGGGGGGGCAGCTAAGGTAACAGAGGGTGCACACAAGGGTCGGGTATCCCGAGACAGAGCCCCAGGCCAGGCTCGAGAGGGGCCGCCAGTCCCGAAGGGCATCCCCCACCCCGGGGGTCCGAGCCCCTCTGCAACGGGGGGTCCCCCAGCCAGGCACACGCAGCCCGCTACGCCACGGAGGACCCCCCACAGGCCCCGCGGTAGCCCGCCCTGCAGGCGCGGACACAGGGGACTCCCCCCGCGGGCCGGGCCCAGGTCCGCGCTCACCCGAAGTCGTCGTCCATGGACTTGAAGTAGAACTTGTAGTTGGGGCGGTTGAGGAGGCCCTTGAAGTCGCCGAGGGTGACGCGCTCGGCCGGGATCGGCAGCTTCACCAGGTACGGCGTCTCCTGCTCGTCCAGGTGGTAGATGATCTTCGTCTCGGCCGCCGCCATGGCGCCCCTGCCCGGCTACCAGGCCTCCGCCTCTGCGCCTCCGCCCCCGGCCCGCCGCGGCCCGCGACCCCCGGCCGCCGCCTCGGCCCTCACGCGGCCCGCACCGACCCCCGCCCGCGTCCCGTCCCGGCTGCGGCCTCCGTGCACCCGGTCCTCCCGCGCCCCTTGTTCTCCAGGTCCCAGCGCCGCCCGGCTCCAGAGCGCAAGCTCGGGCTCCGGCGGCTCCTCCCCCGCCCAGCAGCCCGCCCGCTGCCCCGGCTCAGGCTCCGCCGGAACCGGAACCGGCGCCCCACGGGGCCGTGCCGCGCACGGAGCACCGAGGGAGGTCCCAACACGGACCGGGGATTAGCGGGCACGCTGCGCGCTGCACGGACCCGCACATCCGCAACTTAGAGCCATGCGGGGCTACAGGCCCGCACCTCGCCCCCACTCTGGATCCCGCACTGATATGAGATCCCCCTGGCCTAGAACTGACCTCCATCAGTCCCTGGCCCCCACCCGCACCCCTCCTCCCCTCTCCGCAGGGCCATACAGCCACTGCTGCTCCTTCTGCACCACATCTCATCTGGGAGCATTCCCCCTGGGACTGCACCCCACAGCACCTTCCCAGCCATGCACAGCCCCACTTGCTGTGGATAGGTTTGTATTTTTACTTTATACCCATATCGCTTTATATACTGCCTTATATAGCTCACACACCTGCATTCCCAGCCCTAGCCGGCAAGCACCCATATACCCCTCCCAGGCTTCCCATCCCCACTCAGCTTTCAACCCCTTGCATCCACTGACGCTGCTTCACACACATGATCGTTCCTGTGCCCCATGTGCTTCTTCCTGCAACCTCCACTGCGTCTCATGGAGACACCCCAGCCTCCCCGTCCAACTTGGCAGCCCTGGTCCTTTTCCACATACCTCCCAGCCTTCTCTACTCTCCTCATACAACTACATGCCCCTCAAGTACAAATGACAGAACATGAGGTGTATCTTGTCCTCCCATGTCCAGGCCCCTTTGAACTCCCCATAATCTCCAGTGGCCACCCCACACAGGAACTCTGCTGCACAAGAGAGTGCAGTACTTCTCCCCCTCGTCTGCTGTGGCTTCCCTCCAGCCCTTTGTCACCATCCCACATCCATCTAATACTCTGGTACTGAGCACTGCAATGACCCTTCAAGTTCCCCAGCCTCATTTCCTCACCAAGCAGACTCCATCCTCCACTCTTCACAAGCATCCTCCTTTCTACATACTATACCTCTTCAACTGCACATGTCTGCTCCAACAGCCCCTTGGCTCTGTGGTTTATCCTCCATCCTCTCTCTCCCTGGACCCCATCGCTCTTCCCTACAGTCATCAACACTGTGACCCCAGCCCCTAGGACTTGCCTCTGTGTTGCAGCAGTCTCAGGCTGGCTGTCTTCCCCTCTGGAAACCCCAGCAGCGCCCAAGGGGTGGCAAGGAACTGATTCCATTGGCAGTTTCCTGGAGCTGTGGCTGAGAGCAAAGCTGGGGTGGACAGAGCTTGGGGAACACCCACCACCAGGAAGGTCAATAACCACTTTGCAACATCCTGGATTAGAAGGAACAAATGCAAAGGAAGAATCACACCATGGGCCTGCACGGGGCATGAGACTAGATCACCAGCCCTCAGCGACAGACTCACCTGCTGCAGGAAGAGGAGCCAGAGAGATCTTATAGGGCACAGAGTCAAGCTCCTCAGGCTGGCAGGGTGGTGTGAGCCAAATAGCCTTCTCATGCATGAAAGAGTCCTGTAGGCGTTGCTAGCAATTACTTGGGCAGCACTGCCTGGCTGGGTGAAGACTCTGACATGAAATTAAAGAAAAAAGGTAATCAAGGGAAGACCTCAGGTAAGCACAAGTTGTAAGAGGCATAAGGCTCTCCCATGTTTCTGCATCAGCTCTTGGAAGATTGTCACTTCCTCATGCTCGGAACTCTGAGGCAAAAGCTGGCGTACCTGGAAAGAAGAATCCAGGTCAGGAATGGAAAAGTTTAATTTAAGCTGCTTCTTATTGTGTCAGCCCTGACAGAGATAACCTGGAAGTCTTTTTGTAACACCTCCCTGCCCAAAAAGCTGGGCCTCTGTGGAAGAATTATAGTTTTTCCTTGTCAGGCCACTTTCTTGCCAGTCTCCCAACACAGCTGTGGATGCACCTTGGAGCCTGTACATACTTGTTAAGACACCTTTGTTACCAAAAGGGCAATTTTCTGAAGTGCTGAGCTCCTGAGGCAGCACATGCAGCCTGGAGGAGGGGTGCCACACACCCTCAGTGTGGTAGTGGGAGAAATCTCATTGCTAGAGCTGCCTTTTCTTTCAGAACAGGCCAAGTGATTGAACAGACTCAATCGACAGATTGGTTTAACTGTTCACAGAGGTCTTGTGAAGTATGACTCACTCCTAATGAACGGAGGTTAAAAACACAGAGCCAAAGAAATTAGTAGTAGGGGATCGTGCTGAGCACTACAGATCCACAAGAGTTTCTGAACAGCCTGCTGGCCTATGCCTACGTTTAAATATTGCAGCACTGGTAGCATTACTTCTCCTGACAGAATAAACAGGCTCCAGGCATTTTAGTGCATCTCAGAACAGCACAAAGCAGAGGTGGACGTACTCATGTTCCATCATTTACACCTTTAAGCAACACAAAATTATTATCTTTTTCTAAAAAGGACATTCCTTAACTGAAGTTATGGGCTTGATACGGGAACACAAAGTGACATCCATCCATCCATCCATCCATCCATCCATCCATCCATCCATCCATCCATCCATCCTCTTCAGATGGGAAGTCAAGACACTTGACTACTACCGCCTCAGAAAAAATAAGAATACTTTATGCTTACCTTGCTCAAAAAAGTGGGTTGCACAATCAAGGCTGCTCTCAAAGGCATTTCAAGCCAAACATAAATCTTGATTGAAAGCAACAGAAAGCATCAAGTCCACCCTATACTTAAGCAGTACAATTTATGCTCCTTTAAAAAGTCTACACTTACCTGCCCATAAGGATGCTGCACCACACCAGAATTCCATCTTGGAGAATATTAAGAGTCCTACTTTGTCTCCTTTTTGTTACTCTATCCCAGAAAAGTAGCAAAACCGCACCCCATCCCACCAAGGCCTGAAGGGTAAGGATATCTGCCTGCAGAACATTATCCCCTGGATAAAAAAGCAGCTCACACCATGAAGAAGTTGGCTACTATGGAGCAAAGGAGGAGGGAATGTGGAAAAACCAAAAGTGGAATTGTTATTTGGCACAAAGAATCAAGAGCCTCTGGCAAAATCCAGACATTTACAGAACTACACATTAAATGCATTTTTAAGCCATCTGTACACTGTAGAAGGAAAAAAAAAAAATATCCAAGGGGATTTTAAAATTACCATGTCTTGCAGCTGGTTTGTAGATGGTTTTACAAAGCGCCCTGTAGCTGTCCTTTCCCCTGTCTGCCAGTTCTTACTCCCCAACATGAGGAGAGCACAACACAGTACCTAACAGCCAACATTCCCACTGATGCTAATCATGGTGAAGGATAACAGGTTTCACAGGATTTTAAGTTCATCTTTGCAACATAATCCTGCACAAAACCAAACCTCACTCTTTCTAGGATTCTATGTTTAGAAGTTTTAACAAAGCGTTCTCTACTTGTAAACTGAGCTCACGAGTGATCACTGAATACTTACACCAGTGCAGTGGTGTGCTGATTCCCCACCTGCCTGTTTTGTGCTTAAAATCTCCTGAGGTAGTGATGAGTTATTTTGCTTACCCCTTAAGCCCTGGTCAGGCACATGCCACAGCTGGAGACAAACAATTCAAAGTCAAACAAAGCAAACAAGCTGGTAACACCAGGATAGTTTTTATTTGCTCCCTGAATTAAATATTGGCAGATACAGAAAATTCAGATACCAACTATTTCCCCAACATTTACAAGACTGAGTTTGCAATGTCAGAAAACAAGCACATTTATGCACAATCCTGGTGACTGATAGTGTGAGTGCACAAGATCGTCCTGCCTGACCATTAGTTTTTAAGAGGCAGTATCCCTGGTCTCCAGCATTCAATGCTGTCCCCTCACTGACAATTGTGGCACCACAGAACAGCCAAGTAGAATATCCTGAGTGGGCAGCTCCAGTGCATTTCCCCCTGCAAAGGATTTATTCCATGCTCCTCCTGAAGGGGCAGAGGCAAGGTCAGCACATCCAACAAATAACCCACCTGTGAGCACAAGCCAATTCTCACTGTGCCTTTTTCCCCCCACTCTGTTCTTGGAGAGCAGGGAAGAACACAGCATAGTGACACTTCCAAGAAGCTGTTCTTAAAGGCCTCATTGCTGCCACACATTGTCTGTGCTGGCAACAAAGTGCCAGAGGCACACTTGTTCCCTGCTGTATGCTGAGCTGCTCTGGGGCTGCAGAACTTTGCAGTGGGTTTGCAGCACTTCCCCTGCTGTCTGAGGGAAGTTTTCAAATAAATAGAAGGACATGAAGTAAGCAACTGAATAAACATGATTGTATAACTGAAATCACATGGAAACACGAAGCACATGCTGTTGAAGGAAATACCATTTGCTCCTTTTCACACAGGAGCAGAATTTAGCAACTTGCATCCTCCTCAAAGCAGCTGGTGCAGTCAGTGCCCCAGAGCAGAACACAAGTGTAGCTGGTACAGCAGGAGGAGCCAGACATCTCTGCTTCCTTTTCACTAAAGAAAAACAAACACTTTCCTAAAACATGTCTGCTAAGCTGGGGACGCACAGAAGACAGATCATGTCTAAGATCTGGTGATCCATACAGCATTTCACGGACCAGTGCACAGCAACTATTAGCAAACCCCTGCAGGGGAACTGAGCACATACTATCCCATTCTGCAGAAGGGGGAAACACAGTTTTATCAGCTCTACTGTGCAACCCTGTGTTAAATTCTAGCATGGCAGATGGCAAGATTTTCCCTTCTGGAAAGATCACACAAGTGCCTTCCAGGCTGCAAAATGCCTTGGGCATCCTCAGACAACTGCATCTTCTCCTGGCACAGGAACTCCTGAATCCCAGTCCTGCACTCCAGATCCAAATCCACATGCTCCTACTCACCAACCTTGCCAGTGTCTCTTCAGCAGGAGTTCTCCTAGCTCCAGAAGCAACAATGACTCCAAACAGCTTAGCTGTATGACCATTCTTCCACAACCCCAACGGTTATAGATTTATAAGGGCATTGTATGCATTTGCATCTATTTGCTCCCTTTGTATTAGTAACAAGGACCTCCCAAAGGATAGTTTATAGTATACCATATCCCGACTCCAAAGGGATTCTAGGTATTACCACCTTCTGCTTTTCCCTATGGTTTTTATTCTGGGTTGCAACCACCCAACGTAAGGTGCCACTGGGCAAGTGAGGGAGGGAAGTGGCAAAGTTGGGAACACACAATTAACAATGGGATTGTCAGTCTCTTCGATGTCAGTCCCCACATCTACACACCGTGCACTGGCATTGATCTTGCCCTGCCCACTTGGCCCAGAAAGGCAGTGAGAGTGCCTCTTCTCATGCTAAGTCACCATGTCAGTCTTGGTCGCCATCAGACGACTCTTCTTCTGCCTCCTCCAGCCACTGGATAAACTTCTGGAGCTGCAGAGACAATGAAATGGAATTGGGTGACAAGTGACACCAAACAGATGCTGGGGAGCACTCAACAACTACACCATGTCAGTGAGCACCGGTATCACACACAAAAAAAGAGAATGTTTCTAGAAGACACGGAAATAGAGGCAGATTGAGGGAGAGACAAAAGTTTAGACAAAAACCAACTGAGATGCCATGGACAAACCCAAACTGATTAGATTCCTGAGGGAGATTTCTCCAGTCAGACAATCCCACAACAAAAAGGCAAAAGTTTAAGAGTTTTCAGAACTTGAGGGAGAAGAGATGACAGCTGCAACTTAAATGAGACACACTTGGAAAACTCTGCTGGGAAAAACCTACTCCTTGAAAAATGGCTATAAAGAAGGCAGCTCATTTTACCTTTTAGCTGAGCTCAAATAAGCAGCTGAAAGCACTGCTGACCTATACTAAGAGCTGACTATGCAAAGGTTTTAAACAAAGTTGGAGTTCTTCAGAGATGGCTTTTTTCCTCTGCTCCTCTTCCAAATCCAGGGAGGAGGACTGGGACAAGGCTTAGCCAAACTGCAGCACAAAGTTCTGCCTGATGGAGTGGGGAAGTTTATATGCTCCTTGCAACACAATCCAAATGAAAACACTCAGTACAGCAAACGCTTAGAAATATATGCGAAGGGACTGGTGAGCCAGGAATGAAAGCTTCAAAAGAATTGTATGGGGCCAGCACACAGGGCACTGGCCTAATGCCCATTTCAAATGGGTGTTGGCTTCCACAAGCAATGCTGCTGCTATAGAAAGTGCTGGCCTCGTGCTACAGAGACCTCACTAAAACCAATCTCCTCCTCCTCCTAACTCCATTCCTCATCCAAACAGGATGATTATGGCAGAAGGCACAGAAGCGTCTGTTCTGGAAAACAAAGTTGTGTTGCTTAGTGTTTAATGCACTGGTGCATTAGTGTCCTACCATGCACTGGCAGCTGCTCCACAGAAGGTGACAGTGGCACCAAACTCCACTCAAAGTTTCTTTTAGCAGCTGTTATCTCCCCCTCCTCCCCATCCTGCCTCTTTAAACACCTTTGGGACTTACCCGCTGATTTTTACGAAGCTGCTTTCCCTTGTCAGATGTGTCCCGCATGGAGAACCAATTGAGAATTACATCTTCTTCCAGAATTTCCAGCTGGTAAAATGTCATCAACACCTGCATCGATGAGGGAAGAACAACAGGGCTCTCTATAAACTCTTTTGGGGCTAGATCATGTCCAAGTACAATGTTTGCACATAACCTGTGTCTCCCACCTCTATCTTCAACAGAAAGCACTCAGTCTGCTTAATTTTGCTTTCATTGTTAAACATAACTGTGCTTCTCCTACCAAGCCTTATGTTCCTGACAGATGCTGTGACACATTATGAGTCAAAGTTCAAGCCTCATCAGCTTCAGCTCTATGGATACAGGGTATGATTGAGAGCTGTGGGCAATAAACGGCCACAGAGGACTTCAGTTCAAGATGTAACTTAAGTTCTCTTTTAAACCATCCAAAACCCATTCCCAAAGCACACCTAACAAGCAACTCTTAAGCAGTCCTACATATGCATAACGGTGACATGTGCAGAGAAGAGCATCAAGCTCTCCAGCCCTGCCCCAAGCTCGCTCCTTCTGCCAGCTCCCTTAGAAGTGCCTTATGGCAGGTGTCAAAGCAATTGGTCATTCATCAGATCAAACTCCTGCCCAGCACAGCAAGGCTAAGATACAATCATGCTTTCTCAGGGTGCCTTTGTGCTGAGGCAGAGCAGGCACCTTGCAGTTGGTCTCCTTGTGGCACAGCACTGACAAAGCTGGCTGCCAATGCCAAATATAAAGTGTCACTTCAATTCCCAGCCTCCAGGCAAACCCAGGCCCCTAGAACAATGGACACATGCCAAACAATTGCCATAATTCAAGGACATTCTGGCTCACCAAACTGAAGACTTTTGGCTCCAGTCCTAAGTGCTTTGCCATAAACCAGAAGCACTGGTTGCAGAAGTTAGGATTACTCTTTCTTAAGGAACCAAGAGTTAAGCAGGCTCTAGGAGAGCTCTTCCAAAAGTGATAGGAGCTTACTGAGACACTGCTGGTG